AGCACTTTCATTCATAAAAATGTCAACACCAACACACTCTTTAAGCACCGAGCGTTTGTCAATGACACTCAACGAATCTCCACATTGGTAAATTTGATTTATGTCGCACTCCGAAACAGTAGACACACAACTTTTATTAAATCAGTCGATTGCTTTCTTGAGGATTAAGTCGTGCTTGGATGAGTCTTGCATCTCTGACGTTGACAACGCATTAGTGCAGAGTTTACATGTAGGCCTTCTGAGGCTCCTTAGCCGATGTTATGTTCGAGTTGGTTTCTAAATTTTAACGGAATCCATTTCACGAATATGAATTTGTGGGTCATGCAACCATTTCGTTTGAACATGGGGTAATCGTGTTGTTTACCTACTGCTGTAATACTGCCCCGACGGCTTTTTGTGAAGCATCCGTTCATAAGATCAACAGTGTTGTGGGGTCAGTATTTAGGTGTTGGAGCATGGTAGCATTAGCAATCATGGATTTAGCTTTTTCGAATGCTACTTTGGCATCGTAAGGTAACTTGATTATTTGGTTCTTTTCTTTCTTGGTACCTGATTTATCGTTTTTCAGTAAATCTGTCAATGTCTGTAGTACATCGGCACAATTTGACAGAAATAGTCGATAAAAATTGCATGTTCCAAGAAAACCACGCAGTGATTTCACTGAGGTTGGTTCTGGGTAGCTGGTGATGGCTTCGATTTTATCTTCAAGCGGTTTAATTCCTTGATAATCAATGTGGTGTCTCAGGAATTCCAGAGATGAGGCGCCAAATATACACTTCGAAGTGTTGATTACAACACCATAACTTTTGAAACCTTCAAAAAGCGTGCGTAAGTGCTGAACATGTTCTTCAGTGGAAGAACTAGCGAATAAAACATCGTCGATATAGACAAACACAACACCCGAACCTCTAAGTACTTCGTCCATGAATCTCTGAAAGGTTTGAGCTGCGTTTTTTAGTCCGATAGGCATCCTCAAGAATTGAAACAAGCCAAAAGGTGTGATTACGGCTGGTTTCTCGATATCCTCAGGTGCCATCGGTATTTGATGGTATGCTCGGACTAGATCTACTTTTGAAAAGATCTGTTTTCCATGTAGAATTAAAGAAAAGTCGTGTAAGTGAGGAATGAGTTATCGATCCGGAATAGTCAGGTTGTTTAAACGGCGGTAGTCTCCACAGGGGCGCCAATGTGAAGTGGTGAAGCCCATGGGCTGCTAGACTGCCTAATGATGCCTAGTTGCATCATGTGCTCGAATTCTTGCTTAGCAATTGTTAGCTTATGTGGTGGTAGTCTTCTTGGCCGGGCGCGTATTGGAGGGCCTGTTGTAGTAATGTGATGTTGTACATGGTGGGTGGTACATTCGTTTCGGTGATGCACTCGAATTTCGAGAAAATGTCGGTGAAGATGTTGTTCACAGGTTTTATCATCCGAATTCCATACATTTCGTAGTTGAAGGTGATTGTACCCATGACCTGTAAATTCGTGTTCTTGTCAGCTAATTTCTTGTTGCCCACATCTACTAATAGGCTGTAAGCACTGAGGAAGTCAGCTCCGAGAATAGGTTGTTTGACTTGGGCTACCATAAACACCCATGTGAATCTTCTGCGGAGACCAAGGTCTAAGATTAATGACTGTTCTCCATAAGTTTTAATGACAGTGTTGTTGACCGCGACGAGAGATAATTTAGAACACTCAGAGTGCCGTCGTCGAGAGAGATGTAGTGGTAAGATGCTGATTTCGGCTCCGGTATCAACTAAAAAATTTGAGCCAGAAATTCGATCCCTGATATGAGAGAGACGGCTTGGATAGTGGCCAGAAACAGGCGCCGCCATCACTGTCTGGCCGAGCTGTTTCCCTGATTCTCTGTGTCAGCCGCAGAAAATGTGCACGGTCGTGTGCAACGCCGTGCTTTGGTACCGTATTTTTGGTGGTACCAACAAACTTCAGATGTTCGCTTCGGTGACCGAGATCGTTGTCTGGAGGGGGATCTCGATTGTCTAGGTTGGATGGTTGCTATGGTCGATTACAGTGACGCCAGCTGGCTCGTTAATTGCGTTAACTGCTTTTGAGAGAAGGCTAAACAGCTAATATCTGCTGGTCCAGTTGGTTGCAATGAGTTCACACAGTGACTATCATGGTAGACTTCCATCATTTTATCCGCCATGTCGGCTAAGTCATCATGGGCGACGGATTTCCCTGAGACACTGAGAATTTGTCTAACGCTGCGTGGTAATCTTTGAAACCACATTTGCTTTAGGAGTTTAGTTTGTATGGACCGGCGAGTTGTTTCATGTGGCGGAGAAGTTGAGAGGGTCTCTTATCTCCCAAGTCACAAGACGTTAGCAATTGTTGTAGCCTTTTCTCATCTGAGACCGATGTACGTTGAATTACTACTGCTTTTGTCTTATCATATGGTTCAGATTCTGGCATGTGATCGATTAAATCCCCGACTTCAGCGGCAATCTCAATAGGAAGTGCGCTAACTACATATGCATACTTTGTCGCCTGAGATCTTATGCCTCTAGCCATGAACAAAGCTTCAATTTGTGCAAACCAGACTCTTGGGTTATTAGCTCCATAAGTTGGAAGTCCGAATTCTGAGATAGAATTAACTGAACTAAAATTATTTTCAGGAGAGTTCGACAATGAGACAAAAGTTGTTACTGGAGGCGAATCCATATCAATGAGTTTAGTGGGAGAGAACATTACGAGAAAAAAATAAACTAGTAAATTGTATTGAATTGATAAACAATTTAACAGTTAGGATAAACACGAGGCTTACCAAATAATAGTGGTGGACCAGACGATATATAAACACAAAAGGTATCAACAAAGTTAATAACAATCAATGGTTATATTAATATATACAAGTTATATGTTACAAATACAATAAAAATGGGACGTTACCTAAGTCCACCCAAAATTATGCGTGTTCGGCTTTAATCTGGTACAATAAATCCACAATTATAGATGCTTGGTAATTCCTAACGTATCGATGAAATCCCCAGTGGTGTAATCCAAAGTAAGGTATGGTGTATTAGCTCTCACAGTCTATGAATGTAAATAATATTTGTTTTAGATCTCATTTAACTCAATCTCGAATGAAAACAAAGTGAGGGATGTGTGAGAAGCAGTGTATTTGTTAGCCAGCAACGGTATGTCACGCTATGTTAGAATCACAACGGAAAAGTGTTTAAGGCCATTTAATAAAACAACAGGTACAATCATTTAATGATAAATGTACATGCGGTGAGAAATCGACAAATTAAAAACGTTTGAGGGTAACCGTGGGGCTAGTTTGTTCACTGTGGTCTGTCAAATATCAGACCTGCCTACATAATGATTGCAGTGGCCGTCTTATGTGACAATTGAATCAAGTGAGCCCCATATAACCTAGCCTACGATGCGTTGGCTAGTAATTCAACTTTAGAACGCATGTCGTTTAGGTGCTTAAAGATAGTGTTTAGTTCACTCTTAATATTATGGATACTTTTTGATCTTGAGGTGGAACTCATTATTACATTACAGACAGAGTCATGCAGCAGAAGGTGTGGTGTAAGACCACTGCCAACATTATCAGATTCGAAAGGAGTAGCAGAGCATGAAGAATAAGTAATATAACAGAATTGTTATTATCTGAAGAATTATTGCTTTACAGGACTCAAATGTCAGATCCATTGAATGATCGAATTCCTGAAAATAATGCAGGCGCGTTTTACAACTGCGCTGGGTTTTTTTTACTGTTTCTATGCTACCATGTAGAATCGTGTCGATTTCAAACGAAGCATATTAGATTCAGAAATCACCAAACATTTTTTAGTTCCATTTACATTTGCCACATATTTTTAAATATCACTTTACTAACTAAAGCACTTTTTTATAGGAAATTTATAACTCTACATATCCTCAATTCAATTTCACCAGGTAGTCTCAACTTTATATACATTTTTCTGGACACGTTTATTACTTTCAAATGGTCATGTACGTCTTCGATCGGCACGTCACACTGTCCTGCACATGAGCTTCATTATATCATCTCTATGTCATTTGAATTTAATAATTGTTTGTATCGCTTTTAAATTCTACTAATAAACACATGATTGTCGTTATTTCATATGAGTTCGTGTGTTAAAAGTCTTTTGACATGAGTAACCACATTACGGTTACGAACTGCACTGGTATGCTAACTATAGTATCACGCACGAGTTGGTCACTCAAGCATTCAAAACAAAACGCATTTGCCTGTTATTATAACTAGCAAAATATGGACGCATTTTCCGCTGCGCTATTATTAATAAAATCAGGCGGATCGGGTGAGTTAACACTATCATTTACTGAAAATTTAGAACCTAATGATGCACTATAGCTAGTCATCAATAACAATATCATCTTAAAGCACTGTCATGACCTGATATTCACGAAGTGTGATTGGTAAAATTCATGAAATCATTAGGAAGCTGACTTCATTGGAATGCTTATGTATTCGAACTACCCGTTCCTACCATTTAGATATTTACCACGTTATCTGTTTCCTCGCTTGCTTTCACATATCATTATGTCAATTAATTGCATAAACTACTCATGTGCGTTTGTGAAATGTTGAAATCTATAGGCGTTAGTGCAGACATTCAAACAGGCTGCCTGTGAGGTCGAGGAAATAGATTCACAACTAACTAGTGGTAACTGCTGTTCATTTTGACGTCGTTTAACAAATGCAATATTATAATAAATTGTTGTGATTTATTACAATTCTACTCAAATCTTCAATCTCGTTGTACATGTCAACAGAAGTAAAACGTTTAACAGAAACACACTACTTTATGTGATGATACTGAGTTGAGATTATTCGCTATATATCTAAATGAACTGAATCTTTTAGCCAGCTACTATGTCTGTTCAGTTAATGACTGATTTGTCTACACTCAGTCTCCCCCTTGTTTCTTCACGAAATAATATTTTTTTAAAGGTTTATATGTTTTTCTTTGTTACCTATATTCATTATGGCAATAAATAATCTGTTTTTCGCTACTTGTCTGCCAGATTGTAGATCAGCAATGGAATCACAAGTGTTAAATTTGCAAGAAGAACTATGTCGTTTATGTGCATCAATGTACATTAGTGGTGTAAGTAGTGATGACAGTATGAACGAAGTTGTCAGCGGTACCACTACTAACGCTACTGCTAATAACACTACGACCAATATATTAGATAATAACACTCGTTATGTTGGTGACAGTGATGTACTTCGTTTTAGTATATACTTAACATCATAAAATACACTGAATACTGATGAAGATCACTGCAATTCATTAACTGTCAATGATTATCATTCATCCAGCACACATTTTTCTTAAACATCATTCATATTTAGGTTGATAATGTCATGTCTAATCCACTCGCTACAACAATATTATACACAAATGTTAATTGAAAAATGAACGCAGGAAGAAGAAGATTTCATTCAAATGGAACATAAATACCGTGGTTATTCACGGAAATCATGCGAAGTGATCCAGCTGTTAAAACGTAAATATGGACAAGATTAACATGACTGTGCACAATATGAAGTTAAATAATGATTGAGACAATCGATACTAATGGTACCGATGCTACAACAGTAGTATAAATAATGATCAACTTAGTGAAAATTTTAATGGTTCACGTACTTTTATAGTTGAAAAAAACGTGGTAGTGATAAGTTAGAGGTGAAAAGTACGTTTTACTGTTCTATAAAGTATAACTTCACAAATGAGTGATTGACATGACTTCAATATTTTACTTTAGCTTTTTTGTTTATTTGTTTTTCTCGCTTAAAGCAAACCAATTTCTATACGAGTATGAAGTACTTCAGCAAAAATGGCAGGTTCACCTTTTTTGATGATCTTTTTAAAGACTTCCATGGACCTGGTTAGTTAGTTTAATGGGGATTGGGAAGGTTTGTTCCAACCTGGTTCATTTTTGGCACCATTGTGATGTTGGTCTTCAAGTAAAATGTTGAGTTTACAAGGCACCGGTAAAAATAGATCTAAAATAAGCTTATTAAACTTTTTATATAACTGACGAGGTTTAATTGGACTCTTTATCTGATCGGGATTCTTTGCGTATTGTTGTTAATCTTCTTTTTTGATAGGACATTTGTAGTGCTTAGATTAAAATATGTGTGTCCTAGTACAATAATTCATTATGTACCATCACTCTACTGACTTAGTGATTAGTCTTGTTGGTCAATATTTGTCGGAAATGTTGATATTAACTAATAGTTTATGAGAAACTCGAATTCAACTTATCCAGTGTACGGATACTGAAGATTGTCTCGATGGAGCGATTGTATGGAAATATATGCTGATGATATAATTTGATAAAACAATAAAATCTGACCAAACCATACAGTTCGGCTCATTCAGCACCTTCAATCTCATCGTCTAGATCCACAAAAATAATATAATTCAACGTCATCCATTTGTGCATCAATTTTTCGCATACGTTTTCGTACGTAGCTATGTTCAATCCTTCATTATTTTTGTTCATCAGTTTCCGATTAAATAAATGGCTCATATTACTGAAAAATGTATATTAAATATTAGATGATCAGTCAAAAACCATCCACTGTAGATACTTCTATGTCAGGTATTTGTACTGAATCTTTCCGTCGTTTCTTTCACTTAAACACTAACACAGGAAATAAGCTTTGCTTCTAAGTTTAGTTTGTGTACAGAAAACAATAATGCTTACAGTGTTATGTTCAGCATTCATACTTAAGATACTCTAAATCCGAAATTGACCCAACCAATCGGATTTCTCGTAAGTTTCTATTGAATGTTGATCAAATGAAGGATTTATCAAGATTTATATGCGTCTGAGAAGTTCTTGAACACTTTCAATAGATAAATATATGATGAAACTGGATGTTGTGAACGCCTTGTATTGACTGTCTATTGATTCATTTGTTTCAGTTGTCTGTCTTAACACATTTCCCTATTGTGTTTACAAGTAAACTGTTATCGGATTTCTGTATGTTTTTCATGTCAATAGACTAATCATGAAAAGACGGGACGTGATCGTGAGGTTGAAATACGAATTCTTCTAGCTGCATGGTATAATATAGTGAACAAATCAACTAAATACACAATTAAATCTGATGTGAACCAAATTTCTAACAGTCTTCCTATAAAAATTGAATGATATTACAACAAGAAACACGGAAAATAATTTGACTTTCTTAACTGGACTACGAAATGTTCGATTGAAACCACTAAATGATTTAACTTCACTGGTTATGTAAACAAAATGGTTGTTGGCCGTTGGTTTTTGTACACATGTACCTTCATTACGAATTGTCGCATTTTTGATCTTTGTACACTTCATTCGTATTAATGATTGAAGTCCCTTCTCGGTATACAGTCAAGCTTAATAATCGCATTCAAACTGTTTATTCTCACTCCTCCTAACAAAGCTCTCTTTACATTGAATGGAGCTTTTCTGCCTGATCACCAACTATTTTATTTTGATTTAATTCCCATATCGTGACTATTGCACAAATCCCCCAGAATGTGAACTGATTGATCATGAAATGACATTCAGCAGCCGCCGTCAATGTCACAATCAGACCAATCCATCATCACCGACGTAATAATTCATCAGATTACTATTGATTCCAAATTGTTATTTTTCAAGTTTGACTATTTCAAAAAAACTGTTTCTCACTTTATATCCACATTGATCGTTGTTCATATAAAGATTGAGTTCATCTATTATTATTTCCTTTTCTTTTCTGTTTGAACGAATTATCAACAGTATTTTTTGCTAATTTACTGTTTTAATTTTAGATTATCTTTGATCTGTTGATCAAATGCTTGATCCATTTTTGTCATTAATTTTCGGTAATTCACACTTTGTTAATAACTTATCCATGTTACTACTTGTGTTGGAGTATGGACCATCCATCTGGATTATCCATCGAACTCTGTTATGGGCAATACATTCCAGTCTATTGCAAGTAAGATTCATTCACTTAATGTCCGTTTCAGAGCAAACTGATATTTGAACTAGTGGATGAAATGAATAAAAGTTGCTATTTGAAGAAACATTGACCTAGATTTTAAACTATTCTGTGTTAAACAGGTTAAGCTTTCGTCCACATAGACGAAAGTGTTGGATTTAATTAGTCTAGAAAGAATAGTGAATGAGAATCTTACAATGACCACAGCTAAATGAGTAGAGCTATGCTCACTTGTCATTGTAAATAAACTAGTTACTAGACACCAATCAGTAGTAATGAGCAATGCGCTAAAATGAGTTCGATTACTATATAACGTCTGTTCAATAGAAAGTAACTTCACAGCATTTATACCATGAACTATCTATCACTTCGATCACGATATTGTCAGATAAAGTATATATGGTTGAAGAAACTCATACTCTCTTCTAATGTTCGTCTCCACATAATTTTGTATTATTGGAAGCAACTTAGTCACGTATCTGTTTTCGTATTCTGGTAGAATCTCATTCTACGAGATGGATGGTTTGGTTGTTGGAACTTTATTATTCTTCAGAACAAAATCAACAACATAAACTCCAGAATGAAGTGAGGTATTTCACATAGCACATACGACCAACAGATATGCTGTCAACATCAATATTGCATATTGTTAACCTTTAATTCGTCATTGTCTGCCTCTTTATTTTGATTGTATCTTCCTTGGATCTGATTTTTGATCAATATTTGTCAAGTACTTTTCTGATGACTATTAAGCCCACGCTGCTCAAACTCTTGAACGATCTTTTCCATTGTTCAAAGAATTTGAAAACTGGCCACATGTGAAACTGAATACGTAGAAATGTTGATATAACTAATAGGTTTCTTTTGGACTAAAAAGAATAAAACTTACTTGATATTGTCTATTTAAATCTTCCCATTAACGTTTAGGACTGATCAAAAGACTGATCAATCGAAAGATTGAAGAAGATAATATCAAGTGGATTCAAACATCACTTCATCTCACAAGCAAGTGACTATCAGGATATAACATTACATCTCCATGTTTGTTTTTTTAGTTGTAAACGGATAGTTCCACATACTAGCGGAAAAAAACCATGTGCATTTTCTGGAATTCCATTTTCGTTCCATTTCAATAACATGCGTAGTATATCTTTATCAAAATTTTGTCTTGAGTTAGTAGCCAAGCATCGATTCACAGCGTGAAGTAGTAAAATATTTTGTTCTTCCGGACTTAAGATTATGTTGCAACATAGCTAGAACGCCGTATTCAATCAACGTCAGATAATGGAATAATAGAAAACCGGGCAGGATTAGGTATTCAGCGGTCCGTAGTCTCGTCAAACAATAATATAGATACATCATATTTGTGGAGGCTGAATTCGACAATATTCTTTTCAGAAAATGTATTTCGCCGTGATAGTGTGCAACCACAAACACAATTGAAGATGAACCGAAGCTGATACATAATTTTCCTCAAACAACTATAACGAACCAATTTAATGTAACTTGATAAAAGCAAATGAAGGCAAAAAACAAAGTCTCTTCTATTCACTCATATGCATAATTTACAATTTCACAGATCGGAAGCTCATCATCATTAAATCTATCACCTGTTCATGCAATAAGGCATTTTTGTTCAGTATAGTGGTGACTGGCCATTAGTTTTTAGCTTTGCTGTTTGGATAAGTATTAGGTAAAATTGTCAAATCAATCCACATTTTTTGTGTTTTCGATTTCATCTGTGTTTACAAATAGGAATCTAAGAAGGCTGAGGGAAAATATATCAGCTAATAGACTCCTCGGATCCTCAACATATTTTTACGTGGATTGATATTTCGAAAATAGTCACTAACAGGATTTTGAGACAACAAGAATTCATTGTGAGAAAGTTTCTTTTTCAAGATGTTTCCTACTTATCAAGCTCGGAGATTTTCAGTGTTTATTTAATCGAAAATTGTTGTGGAATTTCATTAATATTAAAGGTTAGTAGTTAGTAAATTCATGTGATCGACTCGCGGTGGAATGTCACTCGAACAGTGTTGTCTCTATACGCAAAGTTCAAGTCGAAGATGGTGACTTGATGACTGCAGTCTTATCTATTAGATATTGATTTGTGCCCAATTCGAGAACATTCACTTGACTTTAAGAACGACTCTGAAACAGGTGTGTTGTAGTGTGATGTGATCAGGTGACACGAAGCTGTTCTTTTGAATGTTCCACATTCTTAATTTCCGAGTCATCCGTGGAAGCTCACGAAGACGAGTTCAGCAAAAT